TTAGGTGAGACTAAGGAGAGTATGAATAGACTAAGGAGAGTATGAATAAAATTAAGGAGTAATTAATTTTCTATATTTTTTCTAACTTGTTTAGACTAAACATCTGTTTCTTTATAAAATTTGCTTAAGATGCTTTGATCAATTGTCAATTCAGTATTTTTCTATGTACTTAATATACATCCACTTAAGTTAGCTAACAACTAATTTTCTACAATCTAAAAATTTTAAATTTGTAGCTTTATTAAAAATATAAATTTAATTAATTCCTCATTCTCATTAAAAATATTTAGTACTACCGTCTAGTAGTATTCCTCCTGACTTTTAAGTGAGAAGTCTTAGGTTTGATTCTCCCCAAGGTGAAGTTGGACCATATTATTATGGCAATCCCATTATAAGGCTTAGCCCACTCTCTCACCCCCATAGTGTAGATACTATTTTTCTTTTAACAAACGATATTATCTACACTAAATAGACGGGGGAGTTAACTAAGCCTCATAATGAGTTTAGTGTAGATACTATTGGATGTTAAAAATAAAAAAATAAAAAATAAAGTAAACTTTTATTTATGTTATTATATTTATTTAGTCACTTTCTTCATTAAAAAAGTCATTAATACTTTTAAAGAAAACTTCATTAATTTTTTAAAATTTTATGCATAGTTATATAAAAAATGTATTTAAAACTCATGGTACATTTGAAAATAAAAGTACCGACTTTTGGTACGTTTAAATTCTAAATGTACCAAGAAACAAAATGCACCAGAAAGCCAAATGTGCCATAAAATCAAATGTACCCATAGTATGGATTATCAGATGTACCAATATAGTCAAACGTATCTATAATAAAATTGTAGAAAAAAATGTATGATCAAATTCATAAAAAGAACAAATGTTTAATCAATGAAATTGAAAAATAAGGTGCCTATATCAAAACATCCCTAAAATTAAAGGGGTTCTTTAGATATAGACCATTACAACTCTTGTTTCCTAAATAAAAACCTACCTAGTTACAAACATCAAAATAAAACCCAAATTTGAAAATGACTGCCAAGTAGAGAAGTAATTAACCTATTATTACAAAATATTTACAACTTGTACCACAATAATCAAAATAAATCAATAAATGTAATTACTCACCTTAATTACAATGAACAAATAGTTATTGCACATATTATTACCCCTAACACACACACACACACACACACACACACACACACACACACACACACACATATATATATAGTACTACTATATGTTCAAACATATTAACTAATTAATCTACCTATATGTAAATTTATGATGAGCAATAACGTATATTTTGTAGGTAAATTAATATTGAAACAAATAACATTCTTTTATTTTGTAGCCTGCTCAATCCGTCAGGTATGGGGCTTTAATCCAAAAGGCCTTGGTGTTAGTTAGAGTGGGCTAATTCTATTTAAACTGATTTTCTTCTCTCCCTCTGTCCGATGTGGGACAATGAATTCTAACACTCCCCTGCACGTGAGACCCCATTTTATGGTTCACACGTGAAGTTCCACACATCAGCAGCCACGTGGAGCCAAGTTGGGACTCACCCGTTCATGCGGGGCTAATTGGAGGGGGGGACCCATCCATTCATGCGGCATCTTTTGGCCTACGTGGAGCCAAGTTGGGGCTCACCCATTCGTGCGAGCCCAAAGAGGACCCACCCGTTCACGTGACAATACAAGCCCGTCCCCTGGCTCTGATACCATGTTAAATTTCAGGTAGACCTGCCATGGGCCCACTCCAACAACACTGATATTGTCCCCACTTGACCACCTGCTTAATCCATTAGGTGTGGGGTTTTATCACAAAAGACCTTGATGTGGGGTTTTATCAAAGGTAGACGGGCCAAGGGCCCATTTCAACAACACCGATATTGTCCCCACTTTACCACCTGCTCAATCCGTCAGGTGTCCAAAAAGCCTCGGTGTTAGTTAGAGTGGGGTAAATCTATTTAAACTGATTTTCTTCTCTCCCTCTGTCCGATGTGGAACAATGGATTCCATGTGACATCCCGTCCCGAAAATATCAAAAACGTACGTGTGAAAAGACACTTTTACCCCTAGTTCGTTCCCTTTACGTTATTGGTTGTTTTGTGTGGTGTTGGCATGTGTTGGGCCACACACTCCCACTGTCACTCTCCCTAACCCTCTGTCTCTTTCCCTGTGACTGTCCCGAGAACCCCATTCCTTCCTCTTCCTTCGAAAACTTACGGACACACACACAAGCACACTAAATCTCCACAGATCGAAGGAACTGAGTACACATTCGAACTTGTGAGGCTGGGAGGAGTGCAGCTATACCATTTTCAGGTAAGAAAACCACCATTTTCACGTCGATTTCACGAAGTCCGATTTGGGGTACTATTCATGCACACGTGATTTCTCACGTTTTAGGGAAAATGAAGCTTGTAGGTGGCTTGGTGAGGTCCCAAGGAGTCTCGGAGTAGTTCATTTGAAGGAATTGGACGTCGGGATCGCTGTATTCGAAGTTGGCCGGAATTGGAGTGTGGTGACAGGTGAGATCTCGTGGTTTTTAATCCTTAAAAGTGGTATATTCGTGTTCTCCTAGGTCTAAGATTCAAATTGGTAGTAATTTTGTCAAATTTGGGTGAAAAACAAACGAGATATCAACGTTTGAAATTTTTCCAGTTTTCCGGCGCCGGAGAATGAGACGGAATATTCCGTCAAATCTGATGGAATATTCCTGACGCCGTTGACGGAATCCGTTAGAACTAACGGAATATTCCCTACTGCGTCAGTTGACGCCGTCAGCGTGCCAGGCACGTGCCTGCGCGTGTGGCCGTGCCTTGGCCGGCGCGTGGGGGTGCGTGCGGCGGTGAAAAATTATTCTAAAAATTTGGGTGTGATCCTGAGGTTGTGTAGAGCACGTTGGTATATTCATTTGTCCAATTTGGGCAATGTATGAGAAGTTATTACGAGAAGTTGGTTATGTGCTTTAAAATTAACATTTTTATAGTTGTTTCGCATATAGGTGATACGTATCCCGAGGACGAGCGTGGTCACTCGAGGCAGGGGGCTACGACCCTTCCACATACCAGTGAGTGGGCTTTTGGTTTTCCGTATATACCTATATACTTATATTTTTCCCAGAAATTGATTTGAATTATTGTTTGCCTTATGCCATGCATTATATTATCGTTGGTTGTGCATTGTGAGTACATTATTAGTTGCATATTTATACATATGCATATTGGGTGCTGTGGACGCACAGGTAAGTGCCAGGTGAGTGTTATTCACATTTATGTTTCAGTAGTGGTTTGAGATGCTTAGAGAGCTCATAACCTGCACCCCCGGTGTTAGTGCTCCCGCCCAGAGTAGGGCACAGTCCTTCACGTGATGTTCACCTCCCGCACCACACACTCAGCTTGGATCCAAGTTAGGTGCACAGTCCTGTCGTACAGACCACTTTAGGTGGTTCCGACTCGTAGGTGACCCTCGATTATTCGCACAGCCTTCACGTGATCGTAGCACTTGAGCGTATATATATGTTACACCCAGGCCTGTCGTATAGACCACTTTAGGTGGTTCCGACTCGTGTGCAGGTTCAGATAGTGAGATCGAGATTTGAGCTCTACATGCAGCCGTATAGGTCACGTTAGGTGACTCCGGCTGCCAGATTTTTATTATTGATATGATTTATACCTGAGCACTTGCATTTCATTATGAGGTTCCGACATGGCATATTCTTGAGCATGATTGGCATATCTATATACATACGTATATATATTTATTTTCTGGGAAGTATACAGGTTTTACGGCGAGGGGTTAGAATGTATTTTACTAAATGGTTTTCGAAAAGCTTTGTTTTTTGCCCACTCACGCTTTTGTTTTGCGCCCCTCCAGGTTCTAGTTGTCTAGCAGGTTCGGTGGTTTCCCAGAGGGCTTTCCCGGCATTTCTGACAGACACTCACCAGCGTAGGGTCACCTTCGGGTGTACTGTTGTCGTATCACTTTTTTTTGGACTGCTGTAGGCTTATGCTCTGAACTTAGCGTCTCACTTACACTAGCACTTGTTTTTATTACTTTGTATGCTAGTTTTTAATTATTCGTAATTTTTATTACTATTTTATTAGCTTCCGCACGTGCACATGGTTACGTCACCTCCGCGTGGCGGCCAGCACGCCCTGATCTCAGTCGGGGTGTGTCATTCCAACATTGGACACATTTTATTATTATATGTACAAATAATAGGTAAACTCATATTGAATAAAATAATATTATTTTGTATGTAGGTACATTATTTTCCATGTATTTTGGGATTTACTTTATTTTGTAGTTAAATTATTTTGCATGTACTTTACATTTATTGGGCAAATTATTTTGCTTTTTTTGAGCAATCTAACATTTTAAATTTTGAAATCTAACATCTTTTTGGACTAAAAAAAAAAAAAACATTTTAACAGTTGAATGGTAGGTGCACTGAATCAAATAACATTTTTTTATAGGTAAGTTATTTTTCTTGAATTTTTACATATAGCATGCATGTTTTTTTTTTTTTTTTTTTTTGTTATGTGTGTGTGAAATAATTTACCTACATTTATATGTAAAATATAATTTAATTGACTAAACTATGCATGTGTTATTACATATATTAGTCAAGTTTTATTGTTATTATATATTAGGCAATGAATTTATTATTTTTTTTGTTTTTGTAAAATCATTCATTCTCCTTTACAATCTGTATAGAATTAATTGTGTACATCAAACATTCAGATAGGGGTATTTTAGGCATCAAAAATTTTAAAATGTGTAAAGTCAAACATAATTAATGAATTTACTAATGTGGAATCTAGTCAATTAGTTTTATTCAAGTAAAAAACTTATGTCGGGTTTCATGTGGAGAAAATTAAATTTTTAGGGCCAAAGTCATAGTTTTTTTAAATTAAAATACAAAAGAATCTCATACTTGAGCAAAAAACAATATGAAAAGCAAGGAAGGGAAAAAGGCAAATAAATAAAGTTATATATATTCATATAAAGAACTTTGGAAGACAACACATTCCCATATGCACATGCTGGTAGGAAAAATTTGCTCAATTATCAAAGATTAGATCAAGAAAGAGGAAAAAAATATAAGAGGTGGAAAGATGCCTCTCTAGATTGGCAAATTATTGAGCATGTATGTGTATTGTGTGATACAATCTGTCTTCCTCCAATCATGCCCATTTGTTCATCCCAGCTGTAACTAACCTCCAACCACCCTCCCTCTTGGGTCCCAAACCCTCGTTTTCCAATCCAATCTTCCAACTCACCATCCAATCTGCATCCTCACCATCCCATGATGTCCCCATTCCTTGATGTCCCATTTAATTTGCCACCCTAGCTCATTCTCTTCTGGTGGGGAAACAAGGTGGATATCTAAACCAATCACGTACTGTCACGTAAAAGAATTAATACATATAAACAATCATAGTGCGTGATTGACTTGAAATATTATCACGGATGTCATCCGATGATGATGATGATGATGATGATGATAGTCTACCAAAGGATAGATATAGTTTCTCATTCAACTTTCCAGGCATAAAGAAACAAGCAAAACTCAGATGAACCGGCAGAAGTTACATTATTAATCCCTTCTACTGACCCAGAACTAGTCTGAGATGACAATGGAGTTGATGCCAATGACGAAAATGGCGGCGAGGATGACGAGGTTCTCGACAATGGCGACAGAGATGTACTTGAAGCAGGCAAATTTGGCTTGAAAATAAACAATGCATGCCTTAATCCAGGACTAAAAAGCCAGTCATGGACATCCCAATAAACCTCAATTCTCAACTTGTTGATGTGAATGTACTCATTACCTCTAAACTTCCATTGAAGATGCTTCACATGAACCACCAAATGCCCATCAACCCTAATCTCCAACTCCGGCTCCACCCCATTTAGGGTACTTCCACTCCCAATGCTCCCGCTGCCGCCGCCGCCACCACCTCTGTTTTTGCATTCAATTGCAATTTCATGCGATCTGCCTCTCTCATAAAACTTAGCTTTTGTGGAAAACTTTTTCTTACCAAAAATGTGCTCCTTTTTGGAAACCAAAGTGGGATCAGTCAGGGCAGGTCTAAAACCTGTTTTTCTATAAGCATCTTTTTTGAGATCACCAAGAACCAAAACAACTTCCTCGTCACAAACAACCGCCACGTAGTACTCCGATTTCGGCTCCGTCCCGCCGTTGAATTTCGCCGCCTTGAGGTCCCAGTAGATTTCCACTGCTTTCTCATCAACCACAAAGCGCTTGGAGCCTTGCTTCCTCCAGAAGTACCACGGCTTGAGCTCAACTTTGCAGGTGTGCTGCTGGGTTTGATCTCCATCCGGGCCCTCCACGGACACCGACAGGCCGTGGAGGAGCAGGTTTTTGCACCATGTGATCGTGATCAAGCGGCTCTGACCGGCTATCTTGGCTCTGTACACTGACATGCACACACTGTGGCCTGACCTAGTCACAGCCGAAGCATCATCACTTAACTTCTCACCTGATGAGAAGCAAGCAGGAATGCCAATGTGGTCTTGCATTTTCTCGACCAGGACGGATTCAGGATTTGAAAATAGAGGACGCTGAACTTTTCACCGGGGATGGATCCAGGATTCTAAAAGTGAGTTGTGCTAAACCCTTATTAGCAGGGACGGATCCAGGATTTGAAACTGAGGCGTACTTAACGGACTTTCCGAAGCGGAAGGTTTCTCTACAGGACGAGAAACCGAGGAGTGGAAGATGAGGAACAAATTGGAGGAAGGAGAGTTGGGGGAAGAAGGGAATTTCTAAGATGGTGGGAGAGAGTGAGTGAGAGATCTTACTCACAAGATGTGTTGAATCACAGATGCTGCCAGAGGTGTGTTTGGCAGCACTGATTGGAATAAACAATTATTTCCAAACTGGCAGATAGACTGGCAGTGAGTGAGAGTGAGTGTAGAACTACCTTTTTTATTCTTTTCTTTTTCTTTTTTAAACTATTCAGTTGTCTGCACCAATGCTAACCTCTCTCTTACCTGGATTTCAATTTGTTTATTTTGTTAATATTTATTTTAAGTTTGTTACCGTTTTCTTTTTTAACATTGACAACTTTATTGAATCCGAGGTGGTTTTGCTTCTGCTGCACTTAAATTACATATTTCCATGCGTATTTAAAAGCAGCAATTGACCATTTGTCAAGAGATTAGGGTTCAGATTTCTACACAGAGTCAAAGAGCATGTTTGACAAATGATCTGTAGAGCGGGAGAGTCATAACGTTGCGCAGTGCTACTAGTTAACGTATTGTATGTGTGATGACATAAATGAAACGATAACAGCTTATGAAAAACGACTATACAAAGTTAAAGACCATCTCCAAAAGACATATTAAAATGTCAAAATCAACAATAACAATTAAAAAAAGACAGCTGTAATATTTTCCAACCGAGAAGCCAAATCGTATGTGGCATGACATGGAATAGCAGCTCTCCCTCTTGCTGTCAAATTTGACAGCAGTTTCAAATATTCTTTTAATTAATTTTTAAATGTTATTTTATTAATTTTTTTATCAGATCTGCAACTTTACTCTCTCACTTGAACCTAAGAAGCGTCGCTCGTCCTTCATCTTCCCTTTTCTCGGAACCAAACCCAGAAACTAACCTCACGATCTCAACCTAAAAACCTCCATTTCGCACCGTTGCTCAAACAAGAGCTCTCGAATCCTCGCTGCAATGCCTCGGCTACAATTCGAGGAAGATCGTCACTGACGGATTGCAATCCCTCGGCTACAATTCCTCCACCTGCAAATCGAAATGGGAAAAATCATTGTCTTTCCCTGTCGGTAATTTAAAATCCCACACTTTCTCAGCATCCAAACATATTTTATAAAAAATTGAAATTAAAAGGTTAAAAAACTTTTGGTTATGGCCTTTGGATTTCAGGTGAGTTCGAGTATATCGATGTGATGGTAGAGGGTGATAGGTTGTTGATGGCGAAGAGAAGCAGGTATACAAAGATTCTGAAAATAAAGAACAAAGATGATGGGAGAAGTTTAGAAAGAACACGTATAAAATAATAGTTTAATAAAATAAAAAGAAAAGAAAATAGTGTAATAAAATAATATTTAATTTGACATACTGGGTGGAGAGGAAAATTTTGAAAGATGTCAAAATACCACACAGGTTGTCAAATTCAAATTTTATATTTAAAATTTGACATCTTCTTTTGAGATGCTCTAAAGATGAAAGAGTTGGGTATTTGGTTTGCTTTCCAATATGGGTCTGTGGAGTTTTTAATTATTTGAATATGTGTTCATAAAGTTTGCATATGGGAGGTGCAACTTTTTTCAACTTGGGGAGGGGTAGCTGCTGCAGATCTGGTCCAGCTAGCTCCCTCCTTGCATTGCAGCCCTAAAGCTACCCACTAATGGTTGCTTAATAATGCTTGGATAATGTTCTCTTTCTTATAATTGTAGATAAAACGGAGTTTGAACGAAACATTTTTGGTACTGTTCATTTTAACGAAAATGACATTTTTACTCTAAAAGGTCACTCTTGATACTATTCACTTACAACACATTTTTATCATTTTGATTAAAACTCAAAATTTTCAAACCATTTTCATTAGTTTTCTTTAAATAAAATGGAAGAAACAAACACATAAGTTTTGTGGGGGCAAAGACTTTGTATGGTATGGTTCTCATTCACCTTGAGTTTCATGTGTCTTTTGCACACTCACACGGAACTCACCCTTAAAAAAGGATAGTGTTATTCATACACTCGTTTTTATCTTTCACACATTTTTGTTAATGTTTTACCATTGATCTTCGTCCATTCATTCGATCTGATGGTTGGAAATTGAGAAGGGTGTGAGAGAGGTAAAAATGAGTGTATATACTAGATAGCACTAACATTGAAAAATGATAAAAGTGGTCCATGAGTTTGTCTATCGTAAATCACTTTGGTTCTTCCATAAAAAATCTATCAATATCTTTGTCAAGTGGAGAAGAAGTTGGTTTGACAAAAATACCTTAAAAAGTTGGTCACGTGGTCATTCACGTGACAATTTAACGATGATATTGACAAATTTTTCACGGAATAATCAAAATGATTTACGGTGGACAAACTCAATAAACGCTTCTATCGATTTTCATTGTCATTGACCAAAACAAATAGTTATATCAATCTCATAGACTATTTTGGCTAAAAAACCATTAAAGAATCTTACCTATAATTGAGATGTGATTATAACGATATTTTAAGTCAATCAAAATATTATTAGATATTTTAATTTTTTCACATGACAGTACTAAATTCGCTTCAATTATCGCAACATTGATACTTTAGTTATAGCTATGTTCATGTCCTTAATGGGAAAGAAGAATAAGGAAATGAAATTCTTTATGGTAAAGCTTCATCAAATGGAACCCAACTGTCTTAAAGGAAAAGAAGGTGAAAAGTATCATCGTGTGGCGTTTTCCACAAAATAATTATTAGAGTTGGTTTACAACAACTATCATTTACTCTTTTCATCGAGGAAAAGTTCGAAGTAAAAAAAAAAAAGAAAATATTATACATTGGTGAATTATTTTTTCTATTTCGTAAGGACAAAATGGCTCGTAGTGATAAGATATTCAAAAGATAATCTCTGTGATAAATTTAGGATTTAAACCCTTGTGGTAAAAACTGTTAACAAAACTAACTCAAAAGTAAAATTTCCATCCACTAAATGCGACGATAAATACGTACTTTTGTGGAACCTCAAGCTTTCTTTTGTTCACGTTCTCTCTCCATCTCTGTTCTCTCTCTAATCTGTATCTCCTTTACCAAATACACTATCACAGATTCATATTTCTTTCTCCTTGTCTCCTTGTTCTGATTTTCTTTGTATATTATCACATTTGTTTGTCTGTTTTTGTTCTTGGGCGACCGGGTGTTAAGGCGGAGGCATTATTATGTTAGATATTGTGTCTTGTTAGCAACCGAATGGAGGCATTGTGTCTGTTATGATGGAAATGCAGATGGTTGAAGATGACAACCATGACTCAAATGAGCGCACTTGGGACAGAGAGAGGAAGGGTAACAGAAAGAAAGAGTGGTCGGTCATTTTATCTCTACATCTAACTGAGATTTGACAGAAATCTCACCTACGGTTAAATTTGCTAACAGTTTTCACCACGAGCGTCACGTGGATTATTTTTCAAATACCTTATCACCATGGAACCAATCCAATTTGACCCTTCGTAAAGAAGGAAAAGGAAATTACAAGGAGAAGAACGAAGTTGAAATATTACTGGCAAAGAATGAACCCAACCTATCTCGTGTAATTGAGAATATATTAGCAAACATCAACCCCCAAAAATGAGGGAATGAGCTATATATTCGTAAAATTAGTAAAGCTAGTTGGCTTTATTTAAAAAATAATTAGAATTAACATAATTTAGTTGTCATTCTTGACATATCTTGCGTGCACAAGAAATGAAAAAACGGATGAGTTACACGTTGAAACTAAGTATATCATACGATTCATACCTAAACAATCATGTTTTTTCTTTTCTGTTCAGTTCACAACTTCGTTTACCACAAACAAAAAGAAAGAAAAGAAACAAGAAACAAGGAGGGCATCTCATACCTGAACAACCAGATATCATTCTCGTTCTTCACTTTTCTCACACTTGCCTCATAAGACGAGATATTACAATTAACGTTTATAGGCCCAAAGTCCATTACTGGGCCACTCAGGTTGTTGATATAGGCCCGTTTCCTTGGTCCCAAATCGGAGCCCTAAATGCCTTCGAAGCCACTGAGGGCATTTTCGTCTATCTACCCGGCACATAAACCCCAATTCCCAAACGACCGCGGGTTTTGGGTACTGTCACTGGGATTGTTGTCACCGAGCAAGACCTGGAGCTGGGTAAGCCACCGATCATCCCTCCCCGCTTGGTTCCCTAGAAAACCCAATAGAAAATTGCATCCATTTTCTCAGAAACCAAACAGGAAACTTGATTGCAGACCCACATCGTAAAAATGCAATCTTTAAGTGCGAGCATCCGGTTGGTCCGAAGGCAAAGGGTCGACGGCTCAAAAATTGCTCATTTCAGATCGATTGGAGCTTACCAATTGAGCGGCGGTTCTGGGTATAGCTCGTTGGCGTCGGATAGTTTGGCCTCTGCCAAGAAATTGGGGGATTTATCGGGTTTTGGGCCTTCGAAAAGTTCCTTGTTTCAGTCAGTTTCCAAGTTTTCGTATCGATCTTCGGCCCCGTTCGTATGTTTTCGACTCGCTATGCGCTCTCTAATAGCATTTTAGCATGTTTTGTGAGCTATTTAATCTGAAGAATACATTTTGAACATTTTTATAGTTTTGAATTTTACTATGTATGTAATTGTGAATTTTAGGTTTTTGGAATTGAAAAGCCCAATTTTTTTAGTTTAATTGAGCGGTTTAGTTTAAATGTTGATACATTTACGAAAAGACGATTTCTTTGTCAAATTTGAGGTTTTTGATGCAATTGAAGCCTAGAAATTAATCTAGAGGCCAGCTTGCATTTTACGTTTCGTCTTGTGGATTGCCACTCCGGCAGTGTTCACCGTGGTCGTAAGTCATGACATTTTGTATAAATGGGGAATCGGGCGATTCTATTGATACTTACGAGATGTAAACCAGAAATGTGATAGAGAAGTAAGTAAAATATGTTCTTAAGAGATTTGGATTACGATAGAATTACTGTACAAATAGGAAACCGGAAGACGGGCCATCAACACTAGATGACATGTCATTAACACATTTTTTGTTTTATGGTGTATAATTCATTTGGAGAGCAATATTTTGTCTTTCTTTCCAAATGTAGCGTTTTTCTGATGCTTGTAGTGTTATTCTACCAGACAACAATGAGCTCTCAAACTGCGGCCCCAACTTCTTCCTGTAATTCCAACTTATTCAAGAGTGCTCAACTAAGCTTTTTTCGATGTGCGGCAGTTTCACCTCCTTTCCCGAGAAGGTGCATTGCAACAGGGGGAAATTCTGTTCAGTCGGCTACTCAAGATTCAGGAATGTCCGTCTCTGATGTAGCTCCTCGCATCAAATTCAAGAGGCTTGATAAAACTGCCCACCACATAATGCAGGCATGTGTGTATCGGTTTGTATTCGTGACAATACATAACACCTTTTCTGTTCCTGTTGTTATATTTATATTAGTTGATTTATATGTCACAGATTCTAGATAAGGAAGCTTTAGAGGAAGTGAAGGTGCAGAGAGAAATACCAGATGTTAGGCCTGGTTATATGGTGCAACTCAGAGTGGTATGATGTGTTCTTTTCGGAAAAAATGGTGTTATAATGCTCCTTATGCTGTGGAGGGAGTTCCTCATGAGATTGAGTCCATATTTTTTCTCATCGCTTTTCCGTATGTGAACAGGAAGTACCCGACAACAAGCGACGTGTTTCAGTCGTGAAAGGTGTTGTGATTGCTAGACGTAATGCTGGTCTAAACACTACAATTAGAATCAGGAGGCAAGTGGCTGGAGTCGGGGTTGAATCTCTCTTCCCATTGTAAGCAATTCTGATGTTTATTTTCCTTTACTATTGATGGCTCTAGTCGTCTTTGACTCCCTGCTTTAAGTTGGAAGGTGAACATGTGATTTCTTAGCTGGATGTCCTGGAAGCGGGTGTATTGAAATGTTGCCATACTGAGTTATCTCAACTCTGATTATACGAGTCTTAGATGCTTGCACAGCATTATCGATACAATTTTCATTGAAAAATAGTTATTTGTAGATTTTGTGGTAACATGTTTATTAAAGTGGAGTCTAAGGAATAAGGAGGTACTGAATTTTATTAGTCAAAATTCTGTACTCTGAAAACAAGGAAACTAATCATGCTCAATAAACATTGCTTATTAAAGCTCTGGGTTCGTGACCGTGAACTGATTAACTTCAACGCAAGTTTAGGTTTTTAGTTTTTTCCACAAATTACTATTTGAGGTGAAACAGACGATTAACTTGGGGTTGGGGCTAGCGCTTCAAACAAAAGTTTATTTCTATTGATATCTGATAATTTCATCTGGAGTTCTCATGTGTGTGGGATTTTATCATTCGTTTCACATAAGTAGATAATATGCTGTCAGTCTCTACAAAATGACCGACAAAGTGGATGATGTTTGGCAGGTATTCGCCGAACATAAAGGAAATTAAGGTGCTGGACAAGAAGAAAGTGCGGAGGGCCAAGCTGTACTATGTCAGGGACAAAATCAATGCATTCAAGAAGCAATCGTAGCTAATGGGATCAAAAGGATGTTGCCTGACAAAGATCGTGTCCCATGTATGACTTAGGTCAGAAATCCAGCAAAAGTTTTGGTGATTTCTTTTCCTCATTCTTTTTCTCTTTTGAACGCATGAGTAGTCTGTGAATCTTCATCAAGTCTTTGAGAATCTGCGATGCCTGGTAGAAATGTGCGAGTTCAATTGAAAGCCGGGGAAGTTACCAGAATTGCTTACTTTCGATGTTAGAACTGTGTGTACTCAGGTTGATGAATGTTATGAAGTTGTTGGCATAAATGTGATTGTTTGTTACACAAGTAGGACTATTTTCTTCAGTATATTCCTTATTTGGCTAAAATTAAATTTGGGTTTGCATGCCAGAAGTCTGGCCGAAGAAGATAAAAGTGGGAGAAATGTAGTATTATTTCACCTTGGTTATCTTCATCTGTAGTTTCTGCTCCATTGGCCACCTCTTATGTTACTACCGAGAAATTTTTAAGTGTGATTGTTGTCAATTTGTCTCGTAATGTTACCAATTCGCGTGTTGTAATATTGTACTATAGAATTTGTAACACAACATGGTGATGTGACGATCACATTAAGAATATCTCGTTGCTGATATCGATATTTTGATCGTCAACATTTGAATTTTGAATGCTTGAATTGAATTTGGCTGTGAATTTCAGCGAGGTCACCATCAGCATTTGTGTGCCGGTTCGTATCTCTGCTACATTTATGAAACAGAAAGAAAAAGGTTACTGGGGAAAAGATTTTTAAGAAGAATTATTTTAAAAATTAGCATGACGATGATGATTAATGAGATTACGACTAATTAACTTCACGTTACCTATTTTGTATTAAAAATTCAAAAGCCCACTAACCTTATAGGAATGGTAGGTCCCTTTTTAGGTATTTGTTGATGATTAATGAGATTACGACTAATTAACGTCACATTATAAATGGGCTCTTTCTTTTCCTAACATGTCTTTTTCAAAGCACTTTCAATTGATTGGTTAGTCTTATAAAGAGTAGTACCAAAGTGATCAAACTAATTAATTAAACCTCTTCGGGGTGACTTAATGATTGATGACGAACTTCAGGTTCGTATTTCACATAATACGTATTGAGTTTGATTCTTTGCGTTAGAGAATCGCATGATGGTGGCAAGTGGGAGGCTAAAATGCCTCTTTGAGTATTAAGGTGTCAGATTATTATTATTATTAAGAGAGAGAAGTTCAAAACTATTGGAATAATTTTTTGGAGAGGGAAGATTTTCGAACTTGAGGCTCATGAGTGGAAACATAAGTCCACTAAGATATTAAAGCACATGTAACTGTCAGTTTCTAAACACAAGTATATAAAATATACGTAACCTCCAAAAACTAAACAGTTAGCAAGTTAATACGACACTAAATATTTGATAACCTCAAATTAATATTTAATCAGGAGGGCATACTTGTAAAAAATTTCAACCGTTGGATGGCTCCACACTGCACGTAAAGAATAAACGTGGGAAAGATCCGAAGATCCGGCACATAGCAATTTAAGGTGCGAAGGTAAACTGAAGAAAACGCGCGTAGCAGATTACTCCCCCATGCCCTCCACAAACCGGCAAACCCAACCTTTCCGAAAATCAAATCAAAATCTCAGTTAATTCATCTTCTGATTTGCTCTGCGTTTCCCTGCCAAATCCAACGGCTTCGCTTTCACGTTTCAATCTCTCTCTCTCTTTCTCCCTCCTTCTTTCATTTTCTCACACCTCCGCAAACGCACGCTCCTTCGCCTTCTTCTCCACCTTCATACTCCAGCACCTCCGACTTCCGGTTCCCTAATACGGTGCGTATTGGGATTTGATTTCGGCGCTAACAGCGGGCGGAATTGACGTTCGGGCACGATTTGATTGGAAAATACGAACGAGTTGTCGAGAATGCCACAGGATTTGTCGTCGGAGCAAGACACCGACGATGCTGATACCGAGTTCGTTGAGGTTGATCCCACTGGTCGATACGGTCGGGTCAGTAGTCGTTACTTTTTTCGCTCTCTTTTTTTTTTTCCTTTAATTTCCATTTTTTCCTGGTTTTTTTAATTATTTGTTGATTTGATTTAGCTGGTTTACTCTTGAAATGTTTGGAAATTAATTACTCAATGCTTTAAAGTCTTAATCTTTTATCAATAAAGTTGTGATTTTGACTGATTTGTGTTGAATTCTCTTTTGTTTTTGGTGATTTTGCAGTATAAAGAGGTTCTAGGAAAAGGGGCTTTCAAGAAAGTGTATCCTTTTGCTCTCATTTGTTTATTTACCAATTCTTTTTCGAATTTTAATTTTTGGGTTTTTTAGTTGGATTCAAATGCTGTGTGAATTTGAACCATTTTAATTTGATATCATATTGAGGCCGAATTGTGTTGTGGATCAATTTTTGTGTGGCCTTGATCGGTATGGAACTTAGATATCGAGCATTTGATGAATTGGAAGGTTTAGAAGTAGCTTGGAATCAGGTTAAGGTGGCGGATCTATTGCGCAACTCTGAAGATTTAGGGCGGCTTTATTCGGAAGTTCATTTGCTTAAGACTTTAAAGCACAAGAACATAATTAAGTTTTACAATTCGTGGGTCGATGCCAAGCATGAGAACATCAACATTATTACAGAGATTTTCACCTCGGGAACTTTACGACAGTGAGTTTTTAGTGATTTATTGTCGTCTTACATTTGATGTCTGTGATTCCTTTATGCTTTTATTCAGTGTTTCAGTGTCCATTATCGTGTAGGTACCGGAGAAAGCATAAGCATGTTGATTTGAGGGCGTTGAAGAAATGGTCTAGGCAGATCTTAGAAGGCCTTTGGTATCTTCATAATCATGATCCCCCAGTCATCCATCGAGATTTGAAGTGTGACAACATTTTTGTCAATGGGAACCAAGGTGAGGTCAAAATTGGTGACTTAGGACTCGCTGCTATTCTTCGCCAGGCTCGTTCAGCTCACAGTGTTATTGGTGAGGACTAAAAATATAATCAGTTATCTATATTTTCCTTCCGCAATAATATTAGTGCAGAATCTTTCTGTATCAGAGCCGGCAATGTAAGTGTTTTATCACCTTAGGTACCCCGGAGTTTATGGCGCCAGAGCTTTACGAAGAGGAATACAACGAGCTTGTAGACATTTATGCCTTTGGCATGTGCTTGTTAGAGTTGGTGACCTTTGAGTATCCATATGTTGAATGTTCCAATGCAGCTCAAATATTCAAGAAAGTGACATCAGTAAGGGCTTCATGACCTTTTGTGTTTTCACTGTCATAGTTGAGAAGAATTTCCTGTCCTTGAATGTTACATCATTTAAAAGTGTGAACTTGAACGGTCACTGGATCTGTCAGACTCTCAACTTTTTTAGATAATTTCATTTTTCCAGATACATTGCATTTCTTTTAATTGTTGTTAATGGTTCATCTAAGTGGATTGTGATGCATGACTCAGTTGTTTAGCTTGTTTCATTAGAGCAACTTTGGATCCTTTCCCACCAATACAAAGGTTAATACTTGAATTCTAGGCATAATGGCACAAAAATCTCCTGTGGTGAATGATTATTTTACATTCTAACATGGTCCTTGCATCAGCTCTAACATGGTTCTTAACTTCTTATATCACTTCGGACGTGGTCCTTATATCGGATCTTTTTCTGTTGTGGTAGGGAGTAAAGCCAGCATCGTTGGCAAAAGTGACAGATCCTGGAGTTAAAGCATTCATAGAAAAATGCATTGTGAAAGTTTCAGAACGCTTGCCTGCAAAAGAACTTCTGATGGATCCTTTTCTCCAATCAGATGCTAATCGTGAAAGTATATCTCGCTCTCTACGACCCACTCATTATTCAGGTAAAGTGAGTTGTTTATCTAGTGCTCAAAGGCTTTTTGTGTTATTCTCCTCACATTGTGACATGCTAGATGCAGAAGGCAGTTCTGATCAGATTGATATTGAAACAAAGGATATGGACCCTTCTCATGAGACAAGCCGAGACTTCAGTGTCCAAGGTCAGAGGAAAGATGACACGATGTTTCTGAAATTACGAATAGCAGATTCTACAGGTAACCTTTTCTTTCTTTTCCACTTTTCTATTTTATTTACTTTTCTGTCAAAGAAGTTTGTTTTTATGCCAGCTCCCGCTCTTAAAACTGAGAAAGTTTCCACCTGGGCCCAGGTCATTTTCGAAATATTCACTTTCCATTTGACATTGGGGAAGACACTGCAATTGCTGTTGCTAGTGAAATGGTTCAAGAGTTAGACCTGACAGATCAAGATGTTTCAACACTTGCTGAAATAATTGACTCCGAAATCCATTCCCACATTCCAGATTGGCCACACGTAGAAGATTCTGGAGACCATATTGATGGTGAGGCCTCAACTCCTTATAGCCATGCTTCTGAGTCTAAGGAGGACGCTTCTCCCGTAATACACGAGGCCCTTCTTTCTAGTAATCTTGCGTTAGAAATATTGCCTTCAGGCCGCAAGTACTGGTGTGACTCACCCAAGGAAGGTGGTGGAAATTCTCCAGCTAAGTATTTCTTTTCTAATTTGAATTCTCCAGCGGCTTCAGTCACTGCAGGAGGTACCGAAGGAAATGAGAACTCTGCTGGTAGCAGCCCTAGGGAGGAAGATGATGCAAATGGTGCTGGCGCCTCAGATTCACCAAATGGTGGTGTTGAGGAAGATGAGAGATCTCCTGGTAGCCCTAGAGAGGAAAATGATCCAAATGGTGCTGGAGCCTCTGATCCACTGAGTGGTGATAGTCATAATGCAGCTACTGATCCACATCTTATTAATGGCGTTCTTCCATTTGAATCGGAAGTAAAGATCATTGCCGAGAAACTCAAGAATCTATTGGTGGAACAGAAAAAGGAGTTAGACGAGCTCAAACAGAAACATGAATTAGCAATATCAGAACTATTGAAAGAACTGCCCCCAGTTTTCCGTCGAAAGGTTTTAGATATATGTAAGATGAGATTTCCCGACTACAAAATGCAGCTTGAGGCAGACTGCTAAACCAAGCAATTTGCAGATTCAGCTCCTCGTATCTGTTTCACGTCTCCACTTCCAATGCTGGGATATATAGATTGTTTATTCAATTTTCCAGTGACAGAAATAGAAATCGCAGAGATATTCTGTACTTCGGTGAAGTGGGGGAGCATGAGCTAGTCGCGGTATCTGGTGCTGCTGGATGGACATTGAGAGATTTGTAATATAGATCCAGCAAGTCATAGCCTGGAGGACAATCAAGCTTGTCATCCAGATCAGCTTTTAGAGCGGCCCCTGAAGCCCTACAGATTCTGGCACTTGAACTCCCGCGAGGTAACACACATCACGTGGAGTATACACCTGTACAGATAAATTCTTTTACGCTTTTTTTTCCTTCAGTTATACCTCAAATCAGTGAGTTGAGCAAATGTGAAAATTATCTTGGTTTTTGGGTTACTTGTTTGTCAAGTTATTGTTGTGGGATGCTTTGCCCTTGTGTTATTTGTTGAACTGCATAATAATTACAACGTGAAAATTGAAATTTATTAGTGGCCCTAGTGTTTTTTCTGGATTCCAAAACATTTCACCAATCAAAATATGAGGTTGGTGGTCGTGGCACGTTTGCCATGGTAGATTGTGACTCCACAATCCCCATAATTCCATTTGATTTGCTTCAAAAAGTTAAGGTATTTGAAACAATTACGTGGCACAAAGGGAGTCTGTCTTTTAGGGTTGCCATCCCACATGGACACAAATCACCATCTATCAGTCCATTTCATGTACTTTGTAGCCACAAATAAATTTTGAGAGCCCCCATTGGCATTATTTTGAAGGATTTGTATCCCATCTGGATTCAAATTGTAAGGATCTTTATATCTTAGCCGTTTATTATATATCGTACTGTCAGAAATTATTTTGAAAATAACTTAATATGATGGTTGGTGTGTTGCCAAATCAAACTATTTTCAAAATAACTTAAAAAGTGTAAGTTTTGAATTTACCAAAAAAAAAAAAAAATCAACACACACCTTTTTTTAACTTCATACATTTTGTTAATTTTTATTTGATTTATTCAATTTAATGACTAAAAATAAAAAACGGTTTGAGAAGCTAACTGTATGTGAAATTCATACCTCACTACCGAAAATTCGGTGTATTTCGGATATGAATGGATATTGAAGTTCCGAATTTCGTTGCAATGGAATGGAATAAATTGAACCGGAATTGAAATAGAAACCCTTAAAATGCAATTAGAGCGGGTTTTATTTTCACACGTGTGAGGATATAACCCTAGTTGCACAAAAACCCCAAACTCCTATCAGTAAGACTAACTCCCTCCAAAACTCAGGCAGAGAAATGGATAGACCCCCATATGAGGTCCTCCATTGTCTTCCCAAAACAAGATAACACTATCCCTCTCTCGCTCTCCCTCCTCCTCCTCCTCCTCCTCCTTCACATTATCCCCAAAAACCCCCCAAATCCGAGCCCCTATCTTCTTCCTCCTCCGTCCCTCTCTCTCTCCTCCCACTTTCTCTCTCTAAAGACTTAGTCTTTCCATGGCAATCTCCACACTAGCAGCTACAGCTGCAACCTCAGCTTCCTCAAAGCTCACATACCCATATGCCTCCCCAGCCTCCCCTTCCCCCACAACCCCTTCTTTCTCCATTAGACCTTCTTCCAAGCTAACCCACCTCTCCTCCTCCTTCCTAAACCCCTCCACCATCCTCCACCTCACACCCTCCACCGCCACCCCCCACCACCACCACCAACGCCGCAACTTCACAGTCAAAGCCGCCAGAGGCAAGTTCGAGCGCAAAAAGCCCCATGTCAACATCGGCACAATCGGCCACGTCGACCACGGCAAAACCACCCTCACCGCCGCACTCACCATGGCCTTGGCCTCCATCGGCAACAGCGTCTCCAAGAAGTACGACGAAATCGACGCCGCCCCGGAAGAGCGCGCCCGTGGAATCACCATCAACACCGCCACCGTCGAGTACGAGACCGAGAACCGCCACTACGCCCACGTCGACTGCCCCGGCCACGCCGATTACGTCAAGAACATGATTACCGGCGCTGCCCAGATGGACGGTGCCATTCTCGTCGTCTCCGGCGCCGACGGCCCAATGCCGCAGACCAAAGAACACATCTTGCTGGCGAAGCAGGTGGGTGTGCCGAACATGGTGGTGTTCTTGAACAAGCAGGACCAGGTGGACGACGAGGAGCTCCTGCAGCTCGTCGAATTGGAGGTGAGAGAGTTGCTTTCTTCCTATGAATTTCCTGGTGATGATGTGCCTATTATTTCTGGATCTGCATTGCTTGCACTAGAAGCTCTAATGGCGAATCCCACCATTTCGCGAGGCGAAAATCAATGGGTTGATAAGATTTATGAACTTATGGACGCTGTTGATGATTACATTCCGATTCCTCAGCGGCAGACTGAGCTGCCGTTTCTGATGGCAATCGAAGACGTGTTTTCAATCACTGGCCGTGGCACTGTCGCCACTGGCCGTGTCGAGAGAGGGAAAGTTAAGGTCGGAGACACTGTCGACATTGTTGGCTTGAAGGATACTAGGAACACAACTGTCACCGGTGTCGAAATGTTTCAGAAAATTCTTGATGATGCCATGGCTGGTGACAATGTGGGGTTGTTGCTTAGGGGTATTCAGAAGATTGACATCCAGAGAGGGATGGTTTTGGCCAAACCCGGGACTATTACCCCGCATACCAAATTCGAGGCCATTGTGTATGTGTTGAAGAAGGAAGAGGGGGGGAGGCATTCGCCATTCTTTTCGGGTTACAGGCCACAGTTTTACATGAGGACTACTGATGTCACCGGGAAGGTGACTTCGATTATGAACGACAAGGATGAGGAGTCGAAGATGGTGATGCCTGGCGATCGCGTTAAGATTGTTGTCGAGCTGATTGTTCCGGTGGCGTGTGAGCAGGGGATGAGGTTTGCTATCAGAGAAGGAGGGAAGACTGTTGGAGCTGGTGTTATTCAATCCATTATCGAGTGATAGAAAATAGAAATTATGTGGTGGTCTCAACTTGTTTTTGCAATTTGGTGTCAAACTTGAACTCTCTTAGCTTCAATTTTATCTAGCTTTTGACATTTTGAAGCAATTTCCACAACCAAATGTTATATATTTTGTAGGTTTCATCATCCCAATTTGCTCTGCTTTTTTTTTTAATTATTTTTTATTTTTTATGATTCATTTGTGAGTTTGATTCTTAACTTGGTCATGTGAGATATATTTCCGGTTGTATGGCAGAACGAGAGAGGTTTTACGCCGGATTCTTAACCTAGTTATTGAGATCGAGAGAGGCGGATATACTCCCGGTTGTATGGCAAAATGAGTAAGATTTCACTTCGGATTCTTAACTTCGTTAAGTGAGATCGAGAGAGGCGGATACACTCCCGGCTGTATGGCAATAAGCAAAAACTTTGCACTCCCAAGTCCATGTTCAATTTGAAACACCATCGACTCAAAAAGTTTCTGTTTTTTACTCTAAAATAGCTTAATCAAATTATGACTCGAGTTAATTACAAAATACTTGAGTCCTAACTAGTCAAGATAAAAATTTCTCACCGATTTGCCATGCCGCCGGTGTGTGAGCTTCGAACAGAATGGCCGCGAGATTGCCCGAACATTAGGCGGGCGTAAATTTGGTACTCGTATATAGATTAGTATTAGATAATACGTTCACTAAACATGCCGTACTCTGCAAATTATAGAAAGTCTGCCTTTGAAACAAGCTGTTTATATATAAATAGACATTTAACGACAGATTGTATACGAGGTTGTATACATATTGCCTTGCTGCAGACAAATATTGTCCATCTCAAAGACAACTTCTCTCTAACTTACTTACCTAATATAGAAACTATCTTACTTCCTAAAACCTTGCTCCACTGTGTATGCTGAGAGTGCCTGATGATACACCGTCCTTGGCGACTAAGATCAGTCTTCGGCTTCCTCCAGAAAGCTTTGTATTCCGATGGGTTCATATGTCCAAGAATATGGTTGATGCAATCAGCCCTTGCACGAATGCTGCCCTCTGCCTTCTCTCTTCTTTATCCTTTTCACAAGCTTCATCTGGGGGAGATGGATCGGCGCTGCACAGACAAAATGCATCAGTAACGGCGCATCAACAGCATCACCAGGATATATTATTCGACAAGATTAGTTACTGAAGCCAGTAGAACTTGCAGCTCAGTCATGTCAGCCAGGACCCTGGCTAACAAAGCAAAAGAAGGGCAATACTACTCGTAAAGGGAACAAATTACTATAAATTGATGGTTCATCACATTTTTGGTTCAACCGAAGGAGCATTAATAAAGTAGTGCATTGACTCGCTTAACGACAAATATCGAGATAAAATGAAGTGAAAAAAATGAAACAATTTAATACTCCATCCTGTTGGAACAGACAGCACGGTTCATACTGGATGACGCAACAGTTAAAGAGATAACGACAGTTTTTGCATGACAAAAGTCACAAGATAAACCTATGCAAATAACGAACGGGTTTCCTGTTTCCTATTTTTCTTCATCTATCCCGCAGAACACTCCCTAACTGCCGTAATGGCATTTTAATTGCCCTTCACTTTTAGTTAAAAGGAGGAGTTGGTTGGAAGAGAAGATAGCATAACATTTCAAAAGTACTGAGCCCAGGTAACATAAAAATGTACTATCCATAATCCGCAACAGTCAATCAACTAATTAAATATTCGCAGTTAAGGGCATCAACCAAACATAGAATGATAGCAAACTAATCAGAAAAAGATTCAATACCAATAACCAAACAGAGTTAAATGATGTTCACGGGTCACTAGGAAAGTAAAAGACTCAATAAGAGGTTACGAGACAAATGAAGGCAACTAGAGAAATGAGATAACCATATATCCACGATAGAACTTAGATCTAACAGAAATAACAATTTAATGGGTTCACAAAATTTAATATCTTCAAGAATTTGAAACTGCCGATGAAAAGCAGATTTAGCTGCAATTAAGACTTTCATAGATACCAAACAGTTATTAGGGTTAGTAATATGTATGCATTTGCAAAGACCCATTTACAATTATATCATCAGTTCATAACATGGTGCATGTTAAAATAAAAGATTTCTCAAGTTTGCAATCCCTATTAATCTCACGCTCAAACAATCACTAATATGGTATAGTTATACTTTCATAAAACAGCAAAAGGAATTTACCTTTTCATGCCGGAAGTGATAGGGGAATCCATATCCGAACAAACATCTTCGGGAATACCTGTAGGGTCTGAAAATGATATATTGCAGATAAATGGTGAGAGGAGAGGATCAGGTGCAGTTTCCTGTGCATATGTCCTTCCATGTTTAAGCATTGCCTTCCCCAGCATTGCTGAACTACCAGTCCACAAACCGGATTTTTGAGATTTTCTCCTGTGCTGAAAGCACACAGATGAATCCTTTAAGGTTCCGACAATGATCAACAGAGCTATCGGCTAAATTCACTATTACGAAGCCTTGATCCAATATAGGTAATAATACCTTGAAGGAGCTTCCATGGTGCACCATAAAATGTCCAATTACATCTTTCCCCAGATTCGCAGCACACAAAGGACAAACCTGGAATAGCAGAATTAAAGCAGCCATCAGGTTCAAATTCTAGCTGAAACATCTATCAATTTCAAGCAGCATCTTTTTTGTAATCAATATATCAACGTTCTTCATTGGATAGTTCAGTAATGACTCAAGAATCCATTTTTGATAACACTAAATCTCCTTTTTAATCACACACGAAAGAAATGCACTTACTGCATTTTTAAAGTCAAAGCAGTGTTCTTCCTCCAAGTGGCTGCAAAGCACTGGGACTTCAATATCCACATAACAGAAGGGGCATGGAAAACACGATTTTGTGTCGTCATCTCCTTCAGAATCTTCCAAACCCATATGATTATCTGTTTAATATAGAAGATCGAAGATCGATCAATAGGTGTATAAATCACACATGGTATCTATATATGTACACGTGTATATGTGCCCACATGTGGATTTAGCAAAACAAGTCAAAAGCTTCGAGAAAGTTGATCTCAGTATTTAAAAGAAAGTACTTGTTGTTTCAATTACATCAACATCCCCAACATTCAACCATTTAAACTACGAGATCAAACACATGCAGACAAGCGCACATGCACACAATTCACACGGACACGTAAATAACTATATTAGAATGATAGAACCTAACACGCAGCTATTACTCCGGCCCCAAGAAACTACTAAAGTGGAACACTTCGCCTCGCATTAGGTGATCAAGTATGGGATATTCATGTAACAAACACCACCTGATTCTTATCGAGAAGACAATAAACAGAGAGCCTAAAAAAATATGAAGGCATCTTCTTATCTATACACTGCATAAGCTACAAATGAATTAACCAGTCTCAACAACCACCCTAAAGCAGATTTTTCATCTTTCTCGATATGTTTTTCAATCTCAATCGAGCCCTAAATTTCTCACCTTCACGAATAACACTAGAAGCATCATTCTCAGATTTTCCTTCACCCAAAGCCTCAGACAAAAGGCTTTCTGCTTCCTTCAATATCTGCTCTTTCAGTCTCTCCAGATCTTCCCAAGAACGCTAAAGTTTTGATTTTTCTACATTCCCCTCTCCGAAATTTTCATGACCATTATATTCTTCATCTTCACTGTAATTTTCTACGTCTTCTTGAACCCCCGTCTAATTTTTCATGCTGATAAATCCCCTCAATCTTTTTGTGATGTTGATTAACCTCCCATTATAATCTCTCCACCCTAATTAATCAAAGTAACTTCTTGATCTCCATGTGGTCTATACCAAACCCTAAATTCTATAAGAAATTCAGGGATATAAATAATCACACAAATAGAAAACCTTAAATCTCTAATGAAATATTACAAACTGGGAAAGCTTTTATGAACAAATCAAGAAAACTTCATAAAATTACCTAATCTAGCATCATATAAGATATGGAAAATCTCAGATTTTCCGGACCTTTTATTTTATTAACTGTGATATTTTCCCATATTCCCCACAAGATAAACACCCCATACATTTCAGGATAAAACATTATTCGCTTGAAAATTCAAGCAAAAATAGTTCATTTAAAACAGGGTTTAACAAAACAATTAGTTAAAAAAACAATGTGCCAATTTCTCTCTTAAATCCAACCAAAGTTCTCAACTTTAATTGCAACCCAGTTCTTGAAATCTCACATACAAGCCATTGCTTTACTCAAACATCAAAAAGAAGAACCTCAATTGGTGCAAGTTTTGTTAAATTCAAGGACCTCAATAAACGGATTTTTAGTTCAGCGACCAAATCTAAATTACGGTGAAAGTTAAAAAGACCAATTCTAAATTTTACTTGACACAAAATGTCGAAGTAAAAAATAAATTCAGAAAACTGAAGTACCATAGTGAAGCCTTGCAGCATGAGCAGCAGAGAGGCTCTTAGCTGCATGAACCCTGCAAGCCCACAAGTCAACGTCCATGGTGGTGGTTCAACTCTCCGGCGACCCAAGTCAGCTTTTCCCGGCGAGAACCGGTGGAACCGCGCCTTTGGCAAATGGGTTGGGACCAAAAGGCTTAAAGTTTCAAGCTTTGAGAGAGATTTTGGGGTGTGGGTGTGGTGATGTTTTGCTTACTCACTCGCCTCTCATAGATTGCTCCGACACTGAAAGCTTTCTCTACACACAAAAGATAGTTGATGGATATCTGACACGTGGCATTTTATTTATTTATTACACCGCTTGCTTTTTTATTTTCTTGAGTTAAATAATTGTACGTTTAATTGCAGTTCTGCTTGTTAATTGTCAATCTTTTTGTCAAAGTGCAGAGAAAACCATGGTTTTAATCTATTTATTTATTTATTTATTTGAATATTATATTTGCTTTCTGCTGCATTTGACATGTATTAAAGCAGGATTAGTCTAATTAGATGATTAATGAGATTGTTTAATGACTCGTGTGAAACAACCTTTCTGCACATCACATGGAAGCTTTTGGCAGGTCTTGAAAGATGCCACTGATGCTGATGTTGAGGGATTTGGATCCTCTCCTGAGCCCAAGGAGAGGGTCCTTCTGACCAAAAGACTTGAGTCGTTTGATGAAAATCTAACGGTTATAATTATTATA